TGAAGAAAGAGATCATTGATAAATATGAAAGTGGATGCGTATCTCTGAGCTGGTCAGGTTATAATAAACCCCCAATCAACCATCGCTACTATTGTGGGCAAGAAAACGGCAATCAAGGAAGCTGTTCTTGCCAAAGGTGAAAACTATGTTTTCGAAACTGAGATCGCAAGTGATAGAAGATGTTGAGACTGTTATTGGTGTGGATAAACGAGAAACAGATAGCAGGAACAGCATCTCCCCAAGCGATCATATGTGAAAAGGCTAGGAAATTGCATGACGATTTAATTAAAAAAATGCCAGCAACTAGTGATGTGAGTGAATTTAAGGCCAGCAAAGTTGGTTTGAGAGATTTAAGAAGCACATGGCATTCAAGTGTGATAAGGCATGGTGAGGGTGCCAGTTCGGACCACAAATCGGCTGAAAAAATGTACAGGACTTCAAGGAGTACATAGACATGAAGAACTGAAACCTGAACAAGTGTTTTCATTGTGACGAAACAGGCCTGTTTTGGAAGAAAATGCCAAGCAGGACGTACATTACTCAGGAGGAAAAGGCACTCCCAGGACATAAGCCTATGAAAGACAGGCTTACCCCTGTTGATGTGTGCCCAAAGCTAGTGGTGATTGCAAAGTGAAACCTTTATTTGGGGTATCACTCTGAAAACCCCCAGAGTTTTCAGGAAAAAAAATGTCCCTCAAGGCTAATTTGTGTGTGCTGTGGAGGGCAAACAGTAAGGCAAAGGGTCCCCTAGACTTTTTCTATGACTGGTTACTCCATGCATTTGCCCCTAATGTGAAAAATTACCTAATTGAAAAGAAATTAGACCTTAAGTGCCTCCTGGTATTAGACAATGCCCCTGGTCATCCTACAGATGTGGCAGAGCGACTTTCTAGGGACAGGAGCTTCATTAAGGTGAAGTTTTTGCCTCCTAATACCACTCCTCTCCTGCAGCCCATGGACCAGCAGGTTATTTCCAACTTCAAGAAACTGTACACAAAAGCTATGTTTGAAAGGTGCTTTGTAGTGACCTCAGAAACTCAACTGACTCTAAGAGTTGTTAGGTAAGACACATATGCAACAGTTAGGTATCTTTATTATGAAACGTTTCGCCTACACAGTAGGCTTCTTCAGTCAAGTACAGAAAAGTTGATAGAAGCAGAAGATACTTGAAGACGATGTAATCAGTCCATCACCAGACTGAGGGACTGACCACCTCAAAACTTTAAGGGTGATGGACTGATTACATCGTCTTCAAGTATCTTCTGCTTCTATCAACTTTTCTGTACTTGACTGAAGAAGCCTACTGTGTAGGCGAAACGTTTCATAATAAAGATACCTAACTGTTGCATATGTGTCTTACCTAACAACCTGTCGGTATTTTATACCATTTTAATGTTCAATCTGTCAGACACTGCAACACAAGGGTATCTTGGTACAGACCTGCAATCAACTTCGACAACTTCCACTAGTGAGAGCGGCTGGATTTGAGAGGGACCTGACCTTTCAACATCTGAGTTCTTACCTCTCCTAGTGGCCTACGTCTCACCTCTTGGCGCTATAAAAGCTCCATTCTGTCACTTCATCTCCATATTGTTTCATACTATGGAACAATGCTCTTCTCCAGACTGAGGGACTGACCACCTCAAAACTTTAAGGGTGATGGACTGATTACATCGTCTTCAAGTATCTTCTGCTTCTATCAACTTTTCTGTACTTGACTGAAGAAGCCTACTGTGTAGGCGAAACGTTTCATAATAAAGATACCTAACTGTTGCATATGTGTCTTACCTAACAACCTGTCGGTATTTTATACCATTTTAATGTGACTCTAAGAGGGTTTTGGAAAGATCATTTTACCATCCTCAATTGTGTAAACATTATAGGTAAGGCTTGGGAGGAAGTGACTAAGAGGACATTGAACTCTGCTTGGAAAACACTGTGGCCAGAATGTGTAGACAAAAGGGATTTTGAAGGGTTTTAGGCTAACCCTGAGAATCCTATGCCAGTTGAGGAATCCATTGTGGCATTGGGGAAGTCCTTGGGGTTGGAGGTTAGTGGGGAGGATGCGGAAGAGTTGGTGGTGGAGGACAGTGAAGAACTAACCACTGATGAGCTGCCAGATCATCTTGAACAGCAAGAGGGCAGACCTGAGGAAACTGCTTCGGAGGAGGGGAGAGAGAAATTGAAGAAGTTGCCTACTTCTAAGATAAAGGAAATGTGTGCAAAGTGGCTTGAAGTGCAAACCTTTTTTGATGAAAATCACCCTGACACAGCTACTGCAAGCAGTGTTGGCAACCTGTACACCGACAATGTTGTGAACCACTTTAGGAAAGTCATAAAGGAACGAGAGGTACAGGTATCTATGGACAGATATGTTGTGCGACAGAAGTCCAGTGACTCTGAAGCTGGTCCTAGTGGCATTAAAAGAACAAGGGAAGTAACTCCAGAAAAATACTTGCTGCCTCAAGTGCTAATGGAAGGGGATTCCCCTTCTAAACACTAACACCTCTCCCCTCCTCCCATCCCATCAATCATCACCAGATCTTCAATAAAGGTAAGTGTCATGTAACTGTGCATGTAATCTTCAGTTTGTGTGTATTAAAATTAATATTTCATGTGGTAAAAAAAAAAAAATCTGTATAGTCCTTGTGGCTTAGCGCTTCTTTTTGATTATAATAATCATGTGGTAAAAATTTTTTTTTTTCAATACTTTTGGGTGTCTTGCTCGGATTAATTTGATTTCCATTATTTCTTATGGGGAAAATTAACTTGACTAACGATAATTTTGACTAACGATGAGCTCTCAGGAACGGATTAATATCGCTGGTTGAGGGTCCACTGTATATGGAATAGGTGGTAAGTTATTAAATGCTGTAAAGAGTTTTTATGAGGATAGTGAGGCTCAGGTTAGGGTGTGTAGAAGGGAGGGAGACTACTTCCCGGTAAAAGTAGGTCTTAGACAGGGATGTGTAATGTCACCATGGTTGTTTAATATATTTATAGATGGGGTTGTAAAGGAAGTAAATGCTAGGGTGTTCGGGAGAGGGGGGGATTAAATTTTGGGGAATCAAATTCAGAATGGGAATTGACACAGTTACTTTTTGCTGATGATACTGTGCTTATGGGAGATTCTAAAGAAAAATTGCAAGGGTTGGTGGATGAGTTTGGGAATGTGTGTAAAGGTACAAAGTTGAAAGTGAACATAGAAAAGAGTAAGGTGATGAGGGTATCAAATGATTTAGATACAGAAAAATTGGATATCAAATTGGGGAGGAGGAGTATGGAAGAAGTGAATGTTTTCAGATACTTGGGAGTTGACGTGTCGGCGGATGGATTTATGAAAGATGAGGTTGATCATAGAATTGATGAGGGAAAAAAGGTGAGTGGTGCATTGAGGTTTATGTGGAGTCAAAAAATGTTATCTATGGAGGCAAAGAAGGGAATGTATGAAAGTATAGTAGTACCAACATTCTTATATGGGTGTGAAGCTTGGGTGGTAAATGCAGCAGCGAGGAGATGGTTGGAGGCAGTGGAGATGTCCTGTTTAAGGGCAATGTGTGGTGTAAATATTATGCAGAAAATTCGGAGTGTGGAAATTAGGAAAAGGTGTGGAGTTAATAAAAGTATTAATCAGAGGGCAGAAGAGAGGTTGTTGAGGTGGTTTGGTCATTTAGAGAGAATGGATCAAAATAGAATGACTTGGAAAGCATATAAATCTATATGGGAAGGAAGGCGGGGTAGGGGTCGTCCTCGAAAGGGTTGGAGAGAGGGGGTAAAGGAGGTTTTGTGGGCGAGGGGCTTGGACTTCCAGCAAGCGTGCCTGAGCGTGTTAGATAGGAGTGAATGAAGACGAATGGTACTTGGGACCTGACAATCTGTTGGAGTGTGAGCAGGGTAATATTTAGTGAAGGGATTCAGGGAACCCGGTTATTTTCATATAGTCGGACTTGAGTCCTGGAAATGGGAAGTACAATGCCTGCACTTTAAAGGAGGGGTTTGGGATATTGGCAGTTTGGAGGGATATGTTGTGTATCTTTATATGTATATGCTTCTAAGCTGTTGTATTCTGAGCACCTCTGCAAAAACAGTGATAATGTGTGAGTGTGGTGAAAGTGTTGAATGATGATGAAAGTATTTTCTTTTTGGGGATTTTCTTTCTTTTTTGGGTCACCCTGCCTCGGTGGGAGACGGCCGACTTGTTGAAAAAAAAAAATATATATATATAATATATACAGTGGACCCCCACATAACGATCACCTCCCAATGCGACCAATTAGGTAAGTGTATTTATGTAAGTGCGTATGTACGTGTATGTTTGAGGGTCTGAAATGGACTAATCTACTTCTCAATATTCCTTATGGGAACAAATTCGGTCGGTACTAGCACCTGAACATACTTCTGGAATGAAAAAATATCATTAACCGGGGTCCACTGTATATATATATATATATATATATATATATATATATATATATATATATATATATATATATATATATATATATATATATATATATATATATATATATATATATACATAACATATATATATATATATATATATATATATATATATATATATATATATATATATATATATATATATATATATATACATATATACACACACATACATACATACATACATACATACATACATGCATATATACATATATGTACATATATACAGTGGTCCCCCGGTTAACGATATTTTTTCACTCCAAAAGTATGTTCAGGTGCCAGTACTGACCGAATTTGTTCCCATAAGAAATATTGTGAAGTAGATTAGTCCATTTCAGACCCCCAAACATACACGTACAAACGCACTTATATAAATACACTTACATAATTGGTCGCATTCGGAGGTAATCGTTATGCGGGGGTCCACTGTACACATATATACATACATACATACATACAGCAGTTCTGTGTTCCTAAAAATTCAGAATAAGGAAAGAATCATTGTGTCACTAAGGTTACAGGTTCAATATTCTTGACAGATATTAACAAGTTGGTGATGATTAGCCTGACTCAACGTTGCAGTTTCATTGCACGAACAGCTTGGTCGAGTATGAGCAAGCACCCTGTCTGCACCTCCAGCTATGCTATGGTGAAAGCCCTTGAGGAGTTGGAGAAGAACCCGTACTTTGATAAATATGCTGCAAAAATTGCTAAATTTCAAAAGTAAGTGCATCACCTTTAACCACATGCTTTCTGCATATTCTGCATAATCTAACAATGATATGCATTAGTTGCTCTCTTACATGAAATTTCTGGGGTGACAGTCGCTTGGGGTGGAGAATGCTTTAAATATATTAAACTATAGAATATATTTTAAGAAAAATGCTGTACCATTAATTAGCTGTAGTGACGGTGCAGCACTGTTATTAGCACTACTTCTCTGGCAAGAATCTCTTTGAATCATAATACAAACTTTTTTTACAATTACATTAAACATATGTACCAATGTATTTTAATTTGTTTCATTGTGCATTTCTAATCATCCAGGTTACAATAGATGTGTAAATTTTGTAAAGAGAAAAGTCTGGCTAGGTGGTTTCCCTGGATACCTTTGTACAGGTTACCTTGCTCACACTCCAACAGCACTTCAGCTATTTCAATTACTCAATAAAGTGATCAGAAATTGGTAATTTGGCCAATTTTACACAAATTTCAAAATATGGCAATTTCAAAATAGGGTCCAGAATATACAATGCAGGCATTCCCGGCACTAAAATAACATTTCCTCTGTTCATTACATACTTATGTTCCCAGGCTTTGCACATGAATTCCATTTTGAATTTTTGCTCACCCAATAAATAGAAGATTTACTCTTATGCATTATTGTAATTATTGTATAAATATCATCATAATGCCGTGTGAACAATATAACCATCCCAGTGTAGTGCAGTGAAAAGAAAAGTGTATCTTGAACGAACACATTGTATATCCTTGAGATAACCAGTATACAACACAATGACAAAATACCAGTGAGAAAATAAAAGGAAATAAAATAAAAAACAATTGTAAAGTGTGGCAGTAGTGGGCCAGTCTACTTGTCCTGGTGTTGACATGTGACAAGTGATACACCAAGGTACGAGTTACCACATACAACGAATAGACGAAAAGGATATAAATAGGCAGTGCTATAGTAATCTGAGTAAGTCCTTTTAATCCTGAGTGTAGTATAAACCTATGGTATAATTATATGGGAACAAGTTGAAAGTTCCACCCGCACCCTACCTCCAAGCCCCCACCTCATGCCCTCGCCCCATCCCCCGCCTCATGCCCCCACCCCATCTCCCGCCTCGTGCCCCCACCCCATCCCCCGCCCTCGTGCCCCCACCCCATTCCCCGGATCCTAAACTACCCATCCAACAGTCTCACCCATGGCCTCCCCTCCTTGCACCCTCACCTTCTTTCCACAGACCCCTATCTCCCAGCTTACCACCCCACCGCACAGCCCCCTCCTCCTATTGTCCCTACCCTCTCCCCAAGGATACCCACAGCCCAGCCCATCCCACCTACCAGCCACCCCACCACCAGCCGCACATAATAAATACACCATTCACCACATACACCTGTTTTAAAAGTAATCATGGCCAGGAATAAAAGCTGTTGTATATGTGAAAAAAATCTTTGGGAGAAACATGAGGGGCATTGATTGTGAAATATGTGGTAAAACATCACATATATCATGTACAAAGCTTCATGCAACCATGACAAATGACCAAAAACAAGAAAGTTGTTTCTGAATTTGCCCCAGTGAAAGGGACAGCTAGTTAAGCATAAGAGAGGTACTGAAAAGTGAAAACCTAGAAAGCATAAGGAAGTTTCTAAGGAGCTTGCCAGCATTATACAAAGAATGGAAAACAGAGGAAAAGGAACAAGAAAAGGAGAAAAAATGCATATAGAGGTGAAAACCAAGGAGTGACAGTAAGAGCATAAGTAGAAAACGTCATACAGAGCAAGTCGGAAAAGGAAACAGGGATACATAACATAGCGGAAAGGGGAAGGGACGATGAGAAAACTAGAACTGGAACAAACGAAAATGAGCAAAGGGAAGAAATTAGCCTAGAAGAAAGTGAACAAGGGAACTCAGATCAGGTGGCAGAACTTAGGAACGACACAGAATCAATAAATATAGATAATCAGAACATTTGCAGTTACTATGCTATAGGTATGTGCCTATATGGCAGATATTGTTGGAATAAACACACCAGAAAATGTGCGAACATGTTGAGGAAGGGAAAGTGTCATTTCAACAAAGAGTGCAGGTACTTCCACCCAGTAATGTGTAAAGCTTCAATGCAGTCAAGTGAATGTTATGACCTGAGCTGCCCAGACCATCATGTAAAAGGAACGCAGTGCTACAGAGTTAGTAGAGAAAGAGAAATTGAATAGCATTCTTTTTTAGACAAAAAGAGAAAAGATCAAAACAAAGGGAGAGATAAACAGGGGGAATGGTACAGAGAGGACAGGTGGGCTTAAGGCCAAATAAGCAAACAAACGCGAAGCCAGTACTGGAGAAACCAGGGGAGTGTACACCAGGGGACATACCAGGTAGTACACCACCAGTGGTACTAATGAAACACAAAGCAAGACAAAACATCCCACTTGGTAATTCCTGCTTCATATTTGCAAATATACAGGGTTTGAAATCAAATAAAAATGATGAAGTTAGTTATGTCAGTGGGCTCCTGACAGAAGTGAATGCCATGTTCGGAGCATTTACAGAAACACATACAAGGGATGTTTTGGATGGAGAGATAAAGATAGAAAACTACAACATGTATAGATGTGATAGAATCAGTAGGTCACAGAGAGGAGTAGGAATCTATGTAAAGGATACTTTCTGTTGCACAGAAGTGCTGAATTCTACGAATGATATAGTAGAAATTCTAGGCATTAAAGTTGAAAATAAGAATTTGGTAATTATCCTAGTATACAAACCACCATCAGCAACTGCTGAGGAATTCACAGATCAGTTAAGTAAGAGAGATAGCTATCTGGATAGGCTAGCAAGTCCTACACCAAATATTTTACTCCTTGGAGATTTTAATCTCCCTCATGTAAAATGGAAGATGGCACAACGTAATGTTATACCAGAAATATCCCCGGGAAGCACCCTGGCTCAACAGGTACATACCAGGGAAATAATGAGGTTTTGTGAAAAGTACTCTTTAAACCAACAGGTAACTGATCCCACTAGAAATGAAAATACCCTGGATTTGATATTCACAAACAATGAGGGACTGATCAGAGACATAACAGTTTCCAAAACTATTTACTCTGATCATAACATCATAGAGGTTCAAACTAGTATTAACTCAGGGGTAGGAAACTGCATCACTAAAGTTAGAGACGGGATGTTCAGTAAGTTTAATTTTAACAACCATAGAATTAACTGGGAAAAAAATAAACCAAGAGCTATCAGACATACCCTGGGAATCAGACATGAGCACCCTAAATCCCCACCAGTGCCTAGAGAAGCTGAATACAGAAGCATACAAAGTATGTATGATACATGTACTATTGAGGAAACCCAGAGGAAGATCAGATATAGAGAGAAAGCATAGAAGATGGTACAGAAGAAGAAAATGGGTTACTGAACTATTTAAAAACACAAATATGCTACAACAAAGGAAAGATAGACTTAGCAGAGAGATCACTGAATTAGAGCAAAAACTTAGGATGTCATACCTCACAGAAGAAGTACAAAGGGAACAAAGGGCCATACAGGATATTGCAAGAAACCCAAAATATTTCTATTCCTATGCAAAATCCAAGCTAAGAACTACCTGTAGAATTGGACCACTACTGAGAGGAGACTCGTATACTGACGATGAACAGGAAATGAGTGAAATCCTAAAAGAACAGTATGAGTTGGTGTTCAGCAACCCACTAAATGACAGCAAGGTAGAAAATGCAGAAATATTTTTCACTCCAGAAGAAGGCCGCACAGACCAACTAACTGACATTAGTACAAATCCCATAGATTTTGAAAAAGAAATGGAAAACATGCCCACTCACTCAGCACCTGGACCAGATTCATGGAATGCTCTATTTATAAAGAAGTGCAAAGTACCACTAGCACGAGCCATCAGTATTCTTTGGAGAAAGAGCTTAGATCTAGGTGAAATACCAGAGGCCTTAAAGAGTGCAGACATAGTTTCTTTGCACAAGGGAGGCAGTAGAGCACTAGCGAAAAATTACAGACCAGTAGCCCTAACTTCTCACATCATAAAAATCTTCGAAAGAGTGATGAGACGGCAAGTTACAAATTTCATGGACCAGCACAACCAACAAAACCCGAACCAGCATGGTTTTAGAGCAGGACGATCATGTTTGTCACAGCTGTTGAACCATTATGACAGAATTATGGAGGCACTGGAAGACGACAAAAACGCAGATGTGATTTACACAGTTTTTGCAAATGTGTTTGACAAATGCGATCATGGAGTGATAGCGCACAAAATGAAGGCCATGGGCATTATGGGGAAGGTAGGAAGATGGATTTTCGGTTTCCTAGCACACAGAACACAAAAAGTAGTAGTGAACAGGGCAAGATCCAGCATCAGTGAGGTCAAAAGCTCAGTGCCCCAAGGCACTGTCCTGGCACCTCTGCTGTTCCTCATCCTCATAGCAGATATAGACAGAAACACCTGGCACACTTTTGTATCATCATTTGCAGATGACACTAAAATGAGCATGAAAGTCAGTACGGTAGAGGACACTGAAAAAGTACAGGAAGACATAAACAGGGTTTTCCAGTGGGCAGTGGAGAACAACATGACATTCAATGGTGATAAGTTCCGGGTGCTTAGGTATGGAAAGAATGAAGAACTCAAAAGGAGCACTATATACAAAACTCAAGAGGGTCACCAAATAGAACGTAAGGAACACGTAAAAGACCTAGGAATAACTATGTCAGCAGACCTTTCTTTTAAAGACCATAACAAGACAAAGATCACGACAGCCAGGAAGATGACGGGGTGGGTAATGAGAACTTTCAAAACAAGGGAAACAATGCTGATGGTGACGCTCTTCAAATCGCTAGTGCTCCCTCACTTAGAATATTGCTCAGTGCTGACGGCCCCATTCAGGGCAGGAGAAATATCGGAGCTGGAACAAATACAGAGATTGTTTATGGCTCACATTGCACCAGTAAAGCATTTAAACTA